CTCTTCTCCCAATTATTTAACACCTGCTGGTAAGTCCTAACAGGTTAGAACAGCTCTGCAGCTCCCCTACATATAAAGAGAGGATGACTTTCCCTGAGTTAGAAAGATGCTAAAACACTTTTCCTATAGGTCGAACCAAACATCTGTCACACAAAGAATCTTGGGCCAGTCACGACAGATTTCCTACTCGACTTGATGAACACGTTCCCTGAACTTTCACTGCTCGCCACATACCAGTAAAGCAAAGTGGGAATACTATGCCACAGGAATACAGCAAGGTAATTGAGTGTAATGTCAATGTAATTTATTACCATACAGATAAAAGAACAACTAAGGAAGGTCAAACGGTAGATAAAGATGCAGCCATGAAAAGTGTGTTAATAATTACTGACTGCAAAAGTATGAAGAGGCTCCCTTGTGGGGCTGTGTGTCAAAGGATTGGTCACACCACAGGCCTGGAACTGAGGCGTGAGATTTTCTTTTCTTAATGAATGAATCGGTCATGGTAAAGGAAGCGAGTCATGACTGGTTACGATAAACCTGTTATATTAACGCAGTTGTTGAGCAGAGAAGAAAGGGGTAGAGGCTTGTTAGGCTGGAGAAAAGAGAGAGAGAGAGAGAGAGAAAGACACCAGCAGTGAATGACTGTCGCCTTACATGGAACCTGTCGCATTGCTGGGTTCCTCCATCTGTGTAAGTAATGTATTTTTAGCATTCACACATACAGTTGGTCTCTGTACTGGAAAAGTTCAAACTTGGGATGTCCCAATCAAGATTTTCCTTCATCGCCTGATCTATATACGTTAATATTGTCCTGCTGATGTACAGAGTCTGATTCGACGTATTGATATTTTAACTTAAATGTGGATTAAATACTGTCATGTATCTGAAATAACAGCTATAGCGTACTCAATCTGACACACATTGGCTACTTCATCCAAATACTAAAAAAAAGTTCTGGCTCAAAAAAACATTAAGTTTATAAACTAAAATTGATGCGACCCGGCTGGAGAGAAGTGCTGGAACTACAGAAACACTTGTGGTTACACAGCGGTGTTACAGTGTGGTGCTTCTTCCCTCACAAATTATCCTTGGCCAAGCGCAGACGCCAGCCTGCAGAGCACACAAATCCACAACAGACAAGTTTCTTTTGGGCCTATTATGAAGCTACTCAGAGAACTGACAGCTGAGATAACCTACAGCGAAGTCACAGTCAGTGCCAGTAAAAAATGAGAAGCTGCTACCTGAATGTTTTTCTACACTGCTCTTTACTAATGATAATTAGTGTTAGAGATTAGCAAATGCATCCATTTTGCCAGTCTCAGAGTCTGAACCTCCAGTCACTCTCCGGTGCGGCCATCATTTTTCACATTCACACACTCCAATCGTCACTCGTCTATGCAGTGAAATGCTGCACGGTAGAGCCCGGTGGTGGTGAAGGAGAGCAGAGCTGCAACAGCCGGCTGAGGAGGACAAAACACAGTACGGCAAAGAAAGGATTGGATTTTGATTGGGTTTATTTTAGCCAACGCCGTTACTAAAATATGCCCGGATCAGCACCAATACCAGTTGGTAGGATCGGCTCAGGGCATCTGTAGTTCAAACATAACAGAACCATTTTGGATAGTGCTGCAGTGCTCACGTGATATTTGGCAACTTCCACATGACCCGGGCCAGAGCAATAAATATGTATAATGTGCGTTAAGCCGTCTTGTTATCATATACTCAGCCCGGCGTTTACTCAAAGTTGCTTTTCAAACATGATGCCGTCATGTGAAACGTTTACAGGTTACAGTGCACGTCTGAAAGAGACTGTAGATGGAGAGAGAGAGAGAAAGAGAAGAGTTTGTTGATCCCGGTGTGTGTCGGTGCAGAGAGCCAAATGACTGAAGCCTGGACTGCTGCCACACCATTTCCAAAAGAGGTGGTTTGCTGCTACTGGCAAACAGAAAGAGGGTTTTATCAGTCAGCGTGTGAGCATATTCCTGCAGCAGAGTGTGTGTGTGTTTCCTTGAAAGGTGAGTGTCGGTGTGCGTGTGTTTCAGCTACATGATTTCAGCCGCCTATTTTCAGCGGACTATTTTCAGCTCTGTCACTTCAGTGGTCTATATGGAAGACGGGGAGGAGGAGAGAGAAATAAAGAGAGAGAGAGCGCACAAAACAGCCCATATCTTTTAGTATCCATTATCTAGGTGAACTAGTAGAGCTCGCAAGACTTCAACAAAAGAGCATCAATTTTTTGTCAAATGCAAAATAAAATGGTAAAATTAGAAAAATAGTCAACTATTTTGACGATTAATTAATGATTTAAGTAATTAAAGAAGCCAATGTGTCAAACATCTGGTTCCAGCTTCTCAAGTGTGAGAATTTTCTGATTTGCCCTGTTTTATATCATTATAAGCTGAATATCTCTGGGGCCTGGACAAACCAAGACATCTGAAGACACGACATCAAGTTCCTTAACCTTCTGTTCGGATATTTTTCACTCAAATTTAAGTCAAAAAATGAACGTTAAAAGCAGGTTTAATGTTTCCTTCACTCTCAATAAAAAGACAAAAATAAAGTGTGTTTTTCTACAACATTTCACTCTCTGCTGTGTCTCGCACCTATACGGTCCTCATGTGGAACATTTGTTTCACAGGTTTAATGTTTTTATGATACTCCATCCAAACACCATCCATGTGTCCATAGCAACAGTCCTGATGCAAGACCAATCAATCAGTAATACGCTGCAATGTCATTTAAGCCTGAAATACTTCAATCATTAATTATTAAATGCTGCAGAGGTATCTACATCTCTTCACTTTCGTTTGTTCAATACTTCATGTGGTTACAGAAAAGGAGGTAACTTCAGATTCATCGTTTTTTTTTAAGAAGGATGCTATAATTCACCTTAACTAAGCCACATGCCAGGATTTAGCATCATGGGTTCTGGTGGCGACTTCTAACAATAAGCTCACATGGACAGATGGTGTCGACAGCCGCCACCTTCCTGTTTGAGGACTTGTTGAAAAGCTGAAGACTCGGGATGAGTTGCAGAGAGGAGGACAAACTGGTTCACCTGTGGACTGGAGTTTATTCTGGTCAGCTCTGGTTGGCATGTTAATCTCCACTGAGGTTCACAGCAGACTCTCACTGAGATAGCAGACAACAACATGTGTAGAAACAGAGCTCTGCGCTGCGCAACTATTATTTAATTCTAACAGCTTGCATCATGTATGAACAGGTTATGTAATCTGCCTCTAGCTCAGCATGTTTAAGGATCAAGTTCACGATAGTAAAAGTTAGTGTGACGTGTCAGGAACGGGTCGAGCAGAAACAAAAGAATGGTAAAGGAAGATACAGAAAATAGAAGAAAATATTTATAGATGTTTTTCCTGAGTCTGAAGTTGTGCGGTGACCAAAGGAAGTAAAGTTTCTTCTGGAAGAAAGAACAATGTTGATGTTTTATGTAAGAAAGCTATGTTTTTTAACTCCCATATTAATATTGTATCAACCCTGCTTTAATTCTACCCCTGTGGTTATCGATAGGGCTGGGTATTGAACCTCAACACTACAGAATCATCGTAATACCTCCACCTAAACTACCCCTGACATCCTTACCAGTGGCTGCGTGTAATTTAGAGAAACAAGCGTATTTACCGTAGGCTAGAGATGGAAGTTTCACACAACTGCCAGAAATGTCACTTCTAATTGGATGAATGAAAACTAATTGAAGTTTGATTATGAACCAATAATCAGGTTTCCCACCCCTCTTATTAATGCTCCCATCATGATGTCCTGCTGCGGTATCTGGATGCAGTATTATCACTGAACACACACATATGCACACAATGCCGAGTTGAGTTTGCCAGAACGTGTTTCTGCCACCAGTGTCTTATTCCCTCACACTTACACTCAGATATAAAGAGTTCCAGGGCTGTGTGTAAGAGCGTTCCTGTGCTGTGTTGGTATTCAGATTAGGGCCATTACCGCGCTGTGCAATACTGATACCAGACAACAGCTCTCCTCTGCTGTCAGCACCGCTCTCCACCGGCTGACTGGTCGACTGCCTGATTAGCTCTCTGGTCGTCTTTATCGCAAACTAACTACCCTCCTGTGCAAAAACAGACTGGTGGGGCTGGTAAATGATGCTGTATTAAAACCATGCCCTGACTAATGTGACTTGTATCAATGGTGTTAGCACTATGTTGCAGTGGTGGCTTGGGATGTGTATTTACCAAATAAATTACAAAATGTAGAGTTTACATCATTTTAGGACTGAATCAATTGCAAAACCATGGTTACACCCACGTACGACAGCTGCATGAACTAGTACTGCAGCTATAAGCTAATCCATTCAATTTCTGTTCACTGAAACGGACTCTCAGGGGGCCCTTGTGGTCCGGCAGTAACACAAATGTACAGGGAATGGAGAATCTGTTCTCTATTTGACGGTATATCTGGTTCACCTGAGGCCTACAGCAATCTAATGACTCATCTACTGTAGGGTGTGTGTCTGTCGGTGTGTGTTCTCGCAATAACCAAACAACTAGACTGACAATAACACACTATTTCACCCAGCACTAACACCACCTGATGTGCGTTTGTACCATCAGACATCGTGGAAAATTAACTGCTTTTGTGCCATGATTGTAGCGTCCCAGTCTGAAAGCTGTACAACTTTCTATTTACACTGACCTCAAATCAACACTACCTAATTATACAGCCATGCTACTAGATAAGTGATGAAGTGCATTACACAGCAGAAAGTGAAACGGTTAGAAGAATGACACAGTATTTAGATTTAGTTAGTCTTCTTATGTTTATACTGGAGGTATGGTAACGTTTAGCCTGATATGTTAAGGGTGTTAACAAATTTGTAAGAAAACCCCTCAATCAAAACACAGAGGGGGGAGGAAACCGCAAAAACGTGTGTTTACGGATTAAAACATGCAACGTGTTTCAGCAATAGGGCCGTCAATGTTTCAACAAATCAGACTTGAACAAATGAGAACCAACAGGTGATATTATTTTTAAATGGTAAATGGACTGCCCTTATATAGCACTTTTCTACCTTAATGGACAAAGTGCTTTACACTGTGCCTCTTATTCGCACACCACACACACACACACACACACACAACCACACACAACACACACCCCAGGACAGAGGATCTGGGGATCAAACTGCCAACCCGGTGATTAATGGACAACCTGCTCTACCTTCTGAGCCAGTCGCCCCAAATGCAACCCACGTAGCCTAATCCTAAACGACACTGTATTTTCATTTCATTCTGTTCCTTTGTGCTGTCTCCATTGTTAAGATCACAGATAATGAGTCACTTCATTGTTTTTGTTGACTGTACAGCAGTTGCAATAGATCAGAGTGACATTTTACAAACACTCCTGCTGACATACAAGGCACGGCCTGTTGCTCTTAAACAATGAAACTTAAGTTGGGACGGATCATTACAGATTCAATATTTACTTTTTGAAATAGTTTGAATTTTACAGCTTTAGTCAACATGCTGGCATGCTAAATATTAGCCACAGCAACATAATCCCCTGAAACCTGTTGAATCCGACACTGGTCCTTTAACTGCTGTGATGAAATGTAAAACTGTTATTTACATTGCACTTATTTCCATCATTAAAAAAGTAAAAGTGTGTGTGATGGACTCTCAGAGGTTCAGTAGCTACAGCGGCTCATGTGCTCATTAGCAGACATATTTTAAAAATTAGAAGAGATAGATCCACAGAGATAAATACAATACATACCTGACTAAGGAACCTTTCTAAAGTATGAACACTAGAAGTATAAAATGACAAGGTGTGTTTTCACCTGGCTGTGGGGATATTCCCTCTGTGCAGCTCAGCACAGGCTTCTACTTGCTGACGGGTATTTACACCTGTTTAAACCACGGGGGCTCAAACCGATACGGCTCTTAAACCATTCATTCATACTATAATTAAAGTCCGGGTTTCCCCTGGATTCTTTTCACTTCTCGACTCCGATTCCTCCGCAGAGGGCTGACCAAACGCGACGATGGCCGGCAGAAAAGTGCTGCAGATCCTGATGTGAGGTACTGCATTGGGCATATGGGCCGCCAGCAGGGAAACAAGCGGGACGAGACGAGAGGACAAATTTAGCTCCAACATCGTATCACACATAGCTGCAGCACTGATGCAGCAGTGTGTACACTCGCTAGCAGACTATTAATGAAGCAGGAAGCCAGACATTTCAACATTTCACCTCCCTACTATCAGACGCTAAGCACATGCTTCACCAAAACCAGAATCTGACTAGCAGCTTGAAGTAATTGATGTTCTTTTAACTTTTTATAAAAACCTGGTTGTAGCATGGACACCAACAGATCAGTGTCAGGACTTCATAGGTGGAGTTACCAAACGTAGTTCTGCCGTGTTACAACTCTGCCCTCCAGAAGGATAAACCTGGTCTGATCCGGTCAACTGGTACAAGGTTCAGTGTACACACTCACTGAATGAATGAATGACTGGCTGGATAACTCTAAGTGATACAGCTATATTACAGAGATCTCCGCTGTGAGTCCTAAATCTGGTTTAATCTGCTACGTATCTGACTGACACACCACCACTGACTGACTGACAGGCTGTTTAGAGATTTGTGAGTGGCTTACTGACAGACTGGTTGGTTTAATGACAGTTACTGACGGCTACATACCTGTCCTTGACCCTACACAAGGATGCTTCTTAAGTAGCATTTCAAGACACTATTTTGTGTTTCAAAGAAGTTTAAAATCCTGATAAATCCTTCTAAAACTATTTTTTTGAGAAGCCAAAGCTTGGAAAAAGGTCTGGTTGTCTTTCTTATAGTTTTTTCTTATTGTCAACAAAAATCCCACAAATGCGATAATCCGGTTTCAAAAAACTTTCTGGATTCCCTGCCCTATTCTGTGCTTTTTTCTTCTCAGCTCCCAAAAGCACTGGTTTTCTACTGGAAAGGTAAAAGCCTAAAAAACCACCAACCCAAATGTATAGCTTCATTTTTAACAAAGCTCGGTGAATTCCTACAACAGCTGGATATTGTAGTTTTTAGCAAACGCTACTCAAACGGGAGGAAGAAGTACATTTGTTGGGGCATTTTTGCAGCGTACATCTGGCACACTGTCCATTCAACAGCTCCGTGCTGAGAACGTTATCCAAAACAAACTTCCTCCAGAATGGTTATATAGTTTTTGTCTTGTTTCATGGAATGTATACAAACTTCAGCTGGGACTTGACATACGGCTGCTGTAGCAAGAATGATAAAAAGAAAGAACTATAAATGGAAAATATGTGGTAATGGACTCTGGTTTAAAAGAAGAAAGAAGTAAGCAACCGTAAATGACACAGCACTGACGGAGCGATGACATTTCATCTGTCTGACGGAGATACTGTCCTCCGGTTGGACTGCAGGCTGTCTGACTGGGTGGATCTCAGCTCCTCAAGCACAGCGGTTCCCAAACTGAGGTCCCAGGACCCTCAGGGTTAAGAGAGAGGCAGCTGGGTCGGATCTGAACTTCCCATGATGGCTGCTGCTTAAATAAGAACACGCTTCATTATTTTCTCTCAGAGCCCTTCAGATATTCATCCCACCAGCTGCGCTCACGTCAATTAGTTCATCCTTCCTTCACAGCAGTCAGTGTCAGGGCAACAGTCGCAGCGGGACGCCCTGACATCAGCAGGTTACAGTACATAATATGTAATCACAGTGCTACAGGTCTCAGTCCTTAATCACATTGCAGCTCCAGTGAAGCCTAAGAAGTGAACAGTGACCCTGAGAACCAAAGAGCGAGGGATCTGTGTGTCTTCCAGTCTTACAGCAGGATCAGACTGTGCTCCGAGGTACAGGACGATCACATCAATAATAAAGCAATACGCTGGATCACTGAGCCTACTGATTGGTTCATCAATCACAGGATGCGACCAACCGCACGCGTTTCTCTTCAGCGCGCAGTTATCGCACACAGACAAGATGGAGGTGAAAACAACTGAGCACAAAAACCATCAGAAAGACAAAGTGTCAACAGTAAACACAGTTTACAACACTTCACTGACTTTTTACCGTATCCTACGTTTGGCTCTGTGGAGGTTCCCCGATCGCCGCGCTCTCAAGTCACAATGCAGAACAGTTCAGATGAAAACAACAAACTTGCATCAAACTCTGTTTCAACATGATATCGGAGCAAAGTGAAACTGTCGGTTGGTTTTTGAACGAACCTAAACTGCAGACTCATGTGACAATGTTACTGCACTTTAGAGGAACCTACAGTTATGAGGTATTGGTTAGGCAAGCCAGGTCTGTGTGCTCAATTCCTGTGTGCGAGTGTTTGCAAGACAGAGCGAACACTAAGCCTCTGTCCTTCAACTGTTTCCATGATTGTAATGAATTTCCATCATTTAAATGTAGTGTATTTTGTATTTGTGTATTGTTATTTGTAGGCACTCACCCTGTCCACATTTGACCACATTTACACTGAAATATATGAGCATATAACTGTACACACACTGGTTAATTCACCTGCAACAAGCCAACATCAACTAACAAGAAGTCAATGTATTAGTTGAACTTAATGACCGCATGTGTTTTCCAGTGAGTGAACTATCGATGGACATTATTGTCCTACAATGTGATGCTAAAATATCAAAAACAAAAACACTGAGAAGCATAATGTTACTACATTATTGGGCTATAACTGATATATTTCCAGCAGCATGTATCGAATGACAACGTGAAACAGTACGACAATGTAAAAAGGGGCTTCGTAGTGATGAACCTGCAGAGAGTTATCACCTCAATCTGCAGCCTCGCTCGGCTCTACGACGCTTTACGATGAGTTTCAGCTCATTGTTTAGCTGTCTGCTCAGTAACTTTATTGTCCTGGTTCACTCTCATAGCGTCGTTTTCAGCGAAAGCGCTCTAAAAAAAAATCCAGCAACTAGCTGCTGAACAGAGTGGGGCACTTAGCAGTTAGATGTTTCCACGTTTCTGGAAAAAAAACGCGACCAAACTTGTTTACATTTATATCCGCATGTCGTATATAAATGTGAGAACTCAGCATTTATCCAATCTTGCAGGTTTATCTTAATTTTATATTTCCATATTATACATGATTTATTTATTCTTTTTCTCCTTTT